TGAAACAATAATTAAAAGCAAATGCCCAACAAATATTTAAAGTAAAGTGCTCCAAGGAGGGACAGAAGCCACGTGCATTCGCTTGAGCGAGTCAACGAGGAATACCGCCGGACAGCCACGCTAAGCAAGTAGTTGGTTATAGAAAAAGGTATCGATTACTCACTTAACGCTGTTCAACACTGGCTGTGAAATTAACAGAAAATGTTTGGCATGTGCCAAACGCTGGCATTGTTTTCACTTTGAACAATGCGATACCATAATTTGCAGCACAACACACACACACACACACACGTTCACACACACACACACTCGCAGATACAGCCATCTGTGCTCATATATCAGAACTACATACATACATATGTATATGCAGTTGTAGTTGCTTAGCATTCGAGTTGGTATTATGATGCATGAGCCTTGCAACCCCCAGCGAGAGAGGGAGAGAGAGGAGCGAATGGCTTTTGTCAACGACAAGGAGTCGATAGACTCGGGGTCGGCGGACGGTCGGTGGCAAAAGGATCAGCAGGCGGCAGCGGCAAGCATGCGATGATTAGATTCAGTTTCAATGGAAATTGAAATCAGAGACAAAAAGCAGCAGGGTTGCAAAAACTCAGCCAGAATGAATGATTTGCGTTGTTGTTTTCTGCTCTTGTTGGTGCTGCTGTTGGTCGTATTCGTATTCGTATTCGTATTCGTAGTACCCGGAGCATTAAAAGTGCTACGGCCAGTGATTCATAGTCCTTGTGCAAGATTTCCATCCAGCATGCTTTTTTTTTTTTTGTGCTGGTATTGGTTTGAATGCTGCATTAAGGACAACCACTAAACGTCAACCACCAACGTCAACGGCACACATTTATGAATGTGTGTGAAGAGCGTGTGTATACACAGATGTGTGTGTGTGTGTGTGTGTGTGTGTGTGTGTGTGTGTGTGTGAGTGCTTGTAATATTCTTTCGCTGCCGAGATTAACACCAGGCAACACAGACGCCGGCAAAGCAGAAATTATAATCGTTTCGCAGCGCTGACGTAGCAGAGCAGCCGCAGCAGCAGCAGCAGCAGCAGCAGTGAAAATCGGAAAATCGTTATACGTTGAATATACTACCACAAAATCGCGGTCGGCAAAGGCATCAACGCTGCGCTGCTTTTGGCCGGCACCCGCAACTCCTGGCGACTCACACTCGCGCATCGAATTCGAGTCCTGCCACAGCAGCAGCAGCAGCAGCAGGAGCAGCAGCCGCCGCATTTTAATTTTATGGTGCGTGCGTTTTATTATACGCATATATACATATAAATCTATATGTATATATCATTGTATTTATGTATATGTATCTACGTTTCGATTTCCTTTGCTATCGGCGCTCTCACTCTGACGCTCGCCGCGTTGCCTCTGTGGTGTTTTGTGGTTAATTTAAATAAATAATCCTTAAAGTGCGGCGTGTTTTTACGGTCGTTGCGCGCGAGCTTACGAAAACATATATATATAAGTAATAATTTATTTTAAAAAACCAGAAATAATCAAAAATACTAAAAAAAAAAAACACAAAAATTTTCTATATTCCTTGAATAATTAACGAAACTGACTTTTTTTCTTTGGTGTTTTGTGAATTAAATTCAAATTGTAATTTGCACAGTAACGAGTGAAACTTTGACACTGCGGCGCCATCTGTGGAACGCTTTCGGAAAGTTTTATAATATCAATATTGTTAATTTATTGAAACGGTTATTTATAAAGTTCGTTGACAATAAATAAATTTTAGACATCGCGCATGGAACAAAAAAAATAATAATAACAATAAATAAATAAGTGAATAAAAGTAAAAAAAATATTTATAAATAAATCTACATAACCGAAAATTTAATTTATTAATTTAAGAAATTAACTCAAGCACGTAAAACAAAACATATCAAAGAAAAATATCAATGAATAACATATACATATAATGTATTTTAATTTCATATTTTAAGCAAAAGATATTTTGAAATCACTATTTACTATTCAGTAATTACTAATTAATTTAAAATAAATATAAAAAAAAAAAAATTGTTATCATATTACAAAAAAAAAAACACGGCTTAGATTCTTCATGTAATCCATTTATTCTCATAAATCTATGAAAGCCGGCACAAGACGCCCTCTATGCTGAGCTTGAAGCAAGCAACAGCTTGCTCAATCGCCCGCTAGGTGGCGTCACGCCGATAGCAATGTCAACCCTATTCACAATATACACCTATCGAGTGGACTACCTTATTATAACACATCTTCTGCCCGTTCAGCCTTAACGTTGTTTTTCGCACTCCGTGCTATTTACAGGGTATAACGCTATAAATGGATCCCTCGAACTTGTCTTTCGGCTTTCCGGGACTGCCTGGTCATGGACATCTGCCCATACCGCCCACCGCCAATATGCTGGGCGCCCATGGACATCCTGCGCCAACGGCCAGTCCGCCGCAGAGCGTACCCGGACGTCGCACGCCCCTTGGCTCCGTGGGTCTGGGCGGCTTCTATGCCCAGGGCCTGGGCATGACGCAGCAGAGCCTGACACCCACGGATGAGAACAAGCCCGGGCCGAGTGCTCCGGACAAACCACTGAGTCCCACGGCAGCGGCGATTGCGGCGATTAGTGGTGGCACCACGACGGCAGCCCTGTCAAGCATTGGAGGCGGCATGGGTGGCGGACCAGGTGGCAGTGGACCCAACGGGGGCAAGCAAAAGAATCGTCAAGGCAAGACGGTACGACTGAATATCAATGCACGGGAACGGAGGCGAATGCACGATTTGAACGATGCATTGGATGAGCTTCGCAGGTAAAAAAAAAAAGAAAACAAATTTCTAAGCAAGTTAAAATGGCAATAATAATTGAGTTTGACAGTCGGTTGAATCTTCAAGCAATCGAATCTTGATGTTCGGGTGAATAATCTGAACTTGAGTAACCGACACATAACAAGTAGATTGTTTGCTGATCAATCAGTCAATCATCTCAACAATGATTGGTGATCAATGCGCCAACTAAGCCGCATGATCTTTAGAGCTGAAAGTGAAAGATAAGTTGTGTTTCAGCGTTAATTTTTTTTTGACGATCCTTTTAAAAAGTGTGAGCATCAATGAGATACGCCCAGAGATGTTGAAAGTTGAAATATCTTTAAGCCTTGAAATTCCTCATTACCAATTCAATTCGATTCTCCTTTGCTTCTTTTGCCAATTTTCTGCATCAGTTATGGGCTCGACTTGATCTATAAACTAACTAATACAGACACACAC